ACCAGCGCCGAGGGAGCCCATAAAGGTAAGTGACTGAAGGGGTTTTAACCCCTTCAGCCCAGCCGGAGGGGGGCCAGGAGGGTGGTGGGGGGGGGGACCTAAGGACTACACAGTGCCAGGAAAACTAGTTTGTTTTCCTGGCACTATAGTGGTCCTTTAATTGTCTATTTGAATGTTGGGATGCTTGCCTTTTGTACAGTATCCGCTTGTCAATAAATTATAAACTGATTCTTGCTTGAAATCTCACCTTTATTCCACTTTTCTACATATAACAACATACACTTCTTGAAATGGAGACATCTACACTTTTAACAAAGTTTAACATGCATTTTTTTAAAAATGTAAATAAAAAAAAATCAGGTTGTTTATGACATTTTTCATTATAGCATTTGTGATTATATCTTATTCTTACTTACCCATTTTAATAAGTCTGTGTAACGCTTTGACGCAGGTGGAAAAATGTCTGATTACCGGATTCGTCTGTACCAGGACTCGGACTATGACAGGGCGAGAAATCTTTTTGCACAAGGCACCCTGGAGCACCATCGAGTGGCCTTTAACCATGCCTTCACACTGCCACACATTTGGATTATTATGCTTGTCGTTTTAATTCTTCCGATACTAATATTCCAATCATTTATGTTGTCCATTCTGTGTGTTCTCCTGCCATTAGTTGCTTTGTGGTTTGGTACTAGAGATCTGTATGGGTCCTATGTTAAGCATGCCCTTTCCGATGACATGTTGGATGTCAAGAAGTACTACCTGCAGAGGGATGGTTACTGCTTCTGGGTGGCTGAGTCTGCTGGAGAAGTCGTGGGTATTGTAGCAGCTACACCATCCTTTTACGCTGGAGGAGAACGGCACCTAGAGCTAAAGAGGATGTCAGTTGCCCAGAGCCATAGAGGCAGAGGGATTGCAAAGGCCTTGTGCAGGACGCTCATTGATTTTGCACGAAAACGTGGATGTGAAGCCGTGATCTTGGAGACCACCACTGGCCACCTGGCAGCTCATGTCTTGTACCAAAGCATGGGATTCAAGTTTCAACATTCAACTTTTCTAAAACACCCTCTTGCAAAAGTCGTGGATTTTAAGATTTTTTTATACAAATTTGACATTCCAAGTAATCCATGAACAATTTTCTTTTGAAATACCTCTGATGCCTCCTTTATTGATTATACTATGATGGTGCTATGTGTGTGGACTATCTGGCCCATAAAGTACCTCCAGAACCAGGAATGATATAAAAAGACAGTTATCACTGTATTTGTTTGTGTCTCGTTGAGTTGGAACATTATTTAAGAAGAAAGCAAAGTAAAATCCTACAAATATAACCAATCTAAAATAAACATATTTTGTTTAGAAAACATACTAACATGTAAAGAGATTAACTGAGAGGGAGACATGTTTGTACGTAGCAGGGAATGTGGTGCGACTTAAAGAAAGAGACTACCCACTTATCCCCCCAATAACGACAGACAATGCATATTGGATGAAACAGGCCACAGCATTTATTAAAACTTACAACTGTAGGACACATCCAAATTTTATTATTTTCCTTTAATTCAAATATAAACATATATATATATATCCCATAATTAACATATAAATTAACACTTATTGCCCTACAGCCTTCAACTTAAATAACTGTCCTTGCCAACAAACTTAACCAGGTGCCTATGCACCAAAACTTTACCCACTGGTGTCTCTCCTCCCCCCTCGTCCAAACCAAATGACCATCATCTTAAATGCTCTAACCACCAGCCGGCTCTTAGCTCAGTGGGCACGTCCTATTCGGTAACTTGAAAGTTTACCTTACAGAGCAGGGGAGGTTGAGACCCACCATGTCCATCTCCTGACATTCCATCTGCTCCCCAACCCCGTTGGCAAGGACACGCTCCCCACCACAAACCCCGCTGTTTTAAGCATAAAATCAGCGGGCAGCCCCACCAAAACCAACCAAGGCCTGTTCCACCGCGTCCTGGATTGCAAGATTAAAGAGGTCGAGCCCGACCTCCGTGAGGTGCACGCCATCACTCCTGAACAAATTAGCTGCCTCCTGCTCAAACACCCTATGGTGCACCGGAATCCTGTTTACTCCTAGGGAGGCACATATCCATGTAATACCGGTCTTCAAAAACACAGCCCAGAAGATGGTGACACCGGCAGCAGACGGAAGGCCGATTCCACAGCCGTGCCCCGCGTGGCCCTGAGGGGCCCACTCACCACCACCGGCCCGACTCTGGATCCGCTGGTGCGCCGACCACGTGGGGGCTGGGAAGGCCTCCCAGACCCCCCAGGATGCAGAGTAGACCTTCTGGCACCCCTGGCCTGCTGTCCACGGCCAGGGGGTGCGTGGGAGGTGGCAGTAGAAGCAGGCCGCGTGTCAGATGGAGCTGACACGCGGGCCTGGCGGTGCCTTGGGCCTGGGCTCCAGCTCCTATACCGGGCCTGAGGTGAGGGATCAAGGCTCAGACGAGCAGGGGCTGTAGCCGCATGGGAGGGCCCAGGAGAGGCCTGACCGGGGGGGGGTGAACCCACACCGGCGGGCAGGCCAGGTTGGAGGTGAGCACATTGCTCCTGAAGGTGCTTGCCATCATCCAGGGCAGCAGCAGATCTGAGGGCAGCAGGGCTGAATCCACAGCCATCCCTCAAGCTGGTAAAGTCACCAGGCCCAGGACAAACAGGAGCACAGAGGCAGGGGAGGTGTTTGCTGGCCAGAATCCCAACAGGCACTGAGGTAAGGTGATCCCTGCCCCCCTACAAACACATAGCCACTCCCCTAAACAGATATAGCCACTCCCCTAAACACATACAGCCACTCCCCTAAACACATACAGCCACACCCATATACACATACAGCCACACCCATATACACATACAGCAACTCCCCTAAACAGATATAGCCACTCCCCTAAACACATACAGCCACTCCCCCTAAACACATACAGCCATGCCCCTAAACACATACAGCCACGCCCCTATACATATACAGCCACGCCCCTAAACACATACAGCCACGCCCCTAAACACATACAGCCAATCACTAGCACCATCCCCACACTCATACATGTGCCCTTGTACGTTTAGCTGCGGTGACTCTCCAGGGCCTAAAGATGCACATTTAATAATAAAAGGTGTGCAGTGATATAATACAACTATCTACCTCTATGTCTGTCTGTCTTTCTATCTACCTCTCTATCTATCTGTCTGTCTATATACCTCTCTGTCTGTCTATCTGCTCAGTGGATATCATACTATATGTTGATTAGCTTATATCAATTCATCCCTGTGCTCTAAGCTTATATTAATATAATATATTATATAGGAGAGATTTATCAGTGTGCCTCTAAATCTTTGGGATCTACATTTTGGCAAATTGTGGCATGATTTATTAAAATGTATCACATTTTTGTCTTCTGTTGCGTTTTCTTTAGCCCTATCATTTTTTAATATGCACCATTTTTGCTGACACAACATTTTTTCAGCTTTTTTTCTAAAAGAAATAGTTAATTGAACCTTAATAACACAGATGAGGCTCCTTCAAGCACTAATGGGCGATTAAGAGTACAGGAGATGGGGGTGAGGCCTAACCGAGCAAGTAAATGGTGGCATAATCCCCACGCTCCACTAAGACCTTGCCAAAATCCACAGCCATCATGAGCACTTTTACAAAATGTATACCCTCCAATACCCACCTCACTACCCAGTTGCCTTCCCTTCCCCTTTCATCCATGGGTGGAGGCAGAAAATCCCATAGCTCCTCTGTGGCACCCAGCTTCTGAGCTAGGCCAGAGAAGCACCAACTTAATTTTCGGCGCACTCCCCACCCGACTCCGACTCATTAGAGCACCCACACCCCTCTCACCCACTACAATATGAAAGGTTTCCTCGCAGAGTTCAAAACATACCTAACAGATGAACTGCAAAAATGGCTGTTAACGATCACGGAGGGGGTGGTGGTCCTCGTGGCCCATACCCATGTGGCAGAAGAAAAGCTGGAAAAAGTAGTAAGTGGTAAACTCACACGATGCGGATCTACAAGACCTCAATTATCAACTTTGCCTCCTTAAAGAGGCAAACGAAGACTTGGGCAACAGAACTTACCGAAACAATATCAGGCTCAGAGGCATACCAGAATCTGTGTCCCCTGACATGCTCCCATCAACACTTACTAGAGCTGTTCAGGATCTGCTACCGGAGGCCTCCGCCACCAACCTCCTGATGGACCAGGCCCACCAAGCCCTACGAGCCCCTAGCTCTATCCTGGCCACACCAGGAGATGTGATATTGCTAAGGAAGAACTCATGCAAGCTGCCATAGACTCACCCAGCAAACAGCACAATTCTACCAAGACTTAGCACCCAGTACCCTTCGAAGACGATGAGACCTTCGCCCACTCACACAGCTTTTTGCCCACCGTGGCCTACGCTACGCATGGGGGCATCCCTTCAAACTGATTATGCGTGGAGTTATACCGGTCTCCCCTTTGCAAAGCGTTGGTCAACCAGCAGTGCAGTGCACAGATCAACTCACTCTACCAGCTTTGATATGCAGAGAGCCCGCTGCTAACTTCTCCAACACTCTGCAGGCTCGCCAGCATACTCTAAAAAAGAGATGGTTCACCAAAGATAATAGAAAAGACTATACATCTCTAAATGTTTAATATGCTATAAAACATGTCATAGGGCAACCATTACTACATCCTTAGGGACAGTCACGCTATTCAGCTCATGTCTACAGGTCTATAATTACTGGGGCCGTGGCTGAACATCCACTACCCAGACAAGCCACAACACCACGGACAGACACGATAGAATGGTTATAGATGTTTCTGTCTACATGCTTGTGTCAGCAAAATGTACCTCACCAAAATGTTGCTTATGTTGTTTTTACCATTGTTCTAACTTTTGCAAAAAGAGAGTGACAGAGCCCTGACCTGTGCTCTACGCCAGGCACCCGGCTGTGCTGACAAAGTCAGCTAGTACTTCCCCCCACTCATCACCGAGACCTACAGTGCCTTGCAAAAGTATTCACCCCACTTGGCATTTTTCGTGTTTTGTTGCCTCACAACCTGGAATTAACATGGATTGTTTGAGGATTTGCATCATTTAATTTACAGAACATGCCCACAACTTTAAAGATTTTTTTTTTTTTTTTTTAGTGTGAAGCAAACAACAAATAGGACAAAATAACAGAAAAAGTCAATGTGCAGAACTATTCACCCCCCTCCCAATACTTTGTAGAGCCACCTTTTTGCGGCAATCACAGCTCCTTGTATATACTTAGTGGGAAATAGCGATGCAGCCTAGAACAAAACTAACCCCATTCAACCCCCCAATAATGACAGACCACTTAGTATGGATGAACAGGCCACAGCATTTATTATCACAAACCTAATTACTGCATAACACATCCATAACTTTATTTATTAAATCTCTTCTTTTTCTGTAACCAAAAACGTTAGTCATAAATAAGCATTAATTAACATATATACATATATAACTTCACACATAGTGTTATACAGTGACCCAACCGTCCTTGCCAATAAACATAAAGTGGTTCCTAATCACCACTTCCTCTCACCTCCCTCCTCGTCATAAAAATCATATCTTTTCAATGCCAGCCATCAGCCGACCTTATCCACGCTCGATGGGCACGACACCTCAGGTAACCTAATGTTAACCGTTTGAAGCAGGGGAGGTTGAGACCTTAAAACTTGTTCATCTCATTCTATATACTTAAACGTAACCCCTCAAACACATTTGGCAAGGACATACCCCCAGCTAGCTGTGACTAAATAAACTAATAGGGCAGGTGAGAGGGAAGCTGTTTGCTGGCTCGAATCCCAAGTGACACTGAGGTAAGACCTCCCCCACACTAACTTACACAGAACATAATCCCACCCACACACTCTTTCCCAACCAATCCCATGCATCTATCGCCACACTCCTACATGTGCCCTTGTCCGCTTAGCTGCGCTATCTCTCCAGGGCCTAGTCGCTTTGGATAAGTATCTATGAGCTTGCCACATCTTACCACTGGGATGTTTGCCCATTCCTCCTTGCAAAACTGCTCCAGCTCCTTCAGGTTGGATGGTTTGCGCTTGTGAACAGCAATCTTTAAGTCTGACCACAAATGTTCTATTGGATTGAGATTGGGCTGTGACTAGGCCATTCCAACACATTTACATGTATCCCCATAAACCATTCAAATGTTGCTTTAGCAGTGTGTTTGGGTGGGGTCATTGTCCTGCTGGAAGGTGCACCTCCGCCCTTGCCTCAAATAACGCACAGAATGGTACAGGTTTTGCTCAAGAATATCCCTGTATTTAGCACCATCCATCTTTCCCTCAACTCTGACCAGTTTCCCAGTCCCAGCTCCTGAAAAACATCCCCACAGCATGATGCTGCCACCACCATGTTTCACTGTGGGGATGGTGTTCTTTGGGTGATGTGATGTGTTGGGTTTGCACCAGACATAGCGTTTTCTTCGATGGCTGAAAAGTTACATTTTAGTCTCATCAGACCAGAGCACCTTCCTCCACACATTTTAGGAGTCTCCCACATGCCTTTTTGCAAACTCAAAATATGCCATTTTGTTTTTTTGCTGAAAGTAATGGCTTTCTTCTGGCCACTCTCCATAAAGCCCAACTCTATGGAGCGTATGGCTACTTGTCGTCCTATGTACAAATACTCCAGTCTCTGCTGTGGAACTCTGCAGCTCCTCCAGGGTTACCTTAGGTCTCTGTGCTGCCTCTCTGATTAATGGCCTTCTTGCCAGGTCCGTGAGTTTTGGTGGGCGGACATCTCTTGGCAGGTTTGCTGTTGTGCCATGTTCTTTCCATTTAGTTATGATAGATTTGATGGTGCTCCTCAAAGATTTGGATATTTTTTTATAACCTAACCATGACTTGTACTTATCAACAACATGGTCCCTTACTTGTTTGGAGAGTTCCTTGGTCTTCATGGCAGTGTTTGGTTATTGGTGCCTCTTGCTTAGGTGATTCAGCCTCTGGGGCCTTTCAAAAAAGGTGTGTATATGTAATGGCAGATCATGTGACACTTAAATTGCACACAGGTGGACATCATTTCACTAATTATGTGACTTCTGAAGGTAATTGGTTGCACCAGAGCTTTTTATGGGCTTCATAACAAAGGGGGTGAATACATACGCACATGCCAATTTTCTGTTTTCTATTTCTAAAAAAATAGTTTTATGTATAATTTTTCTCATTTCACTTCACCAACTTAGACTATTGTGTCTGATCCATCACGTAAAATTCAGATAAATAAAACATTGAACTTAAGGCTGTAATGTAACAAAATACAGAAAAAGTCAAGGGGGGTGAATACTTTTGAAGGCACTGTACACTTCCCACTGCCAAGACAAAGCAACACTATGACTAACAAGTGATATAACCCAGGCCGACTCACTACTTTCCCAGGGCATAATCCACTCAGCCCTACCACCAAGGCTAACACCTGCCATGTCAATGCTGAGGCGACTAACACTCTCCTGGACAAAAGGTTCCCCCTACTAGGCATGAAAATCACACCCTAGTTGCATCCAACAGACACTCATCGGATATCAGTCCAACAATAAACTGGCTATGGATGCCTGGACTTTTGATCCTCCACCCACTGACTTGGAACTGAATCATTTGGACAGAGGGTGGAGTGACTCTGGCCCCTTCTGCGTGATGCTGGACAAACTGCGTTTCAGCACACAGGGAACCCCCTCAGTTGACATCACCCTGACGAGGAGAACCCACTGGGAAAAATTTCTGATACCCCGCAGACTCGCTAGTACATTTCAAAACCGCACAGACAGCTACAGCTGTTAAATAGGTTCGGGCCCACCCAATTACTATGCCATTAGAAAGGCCCCAGGAAAAGACTGCATGCATTGCTTATGAGGCACACCCTCCTTATCCTCAGCCGGGTGCATGGGGAGATACATTTGTCACTGTTGTGGTTGTGACTTAAATATGAATATTAATCTCTTAATACATAATAATTAAGCAATACGGAACAACATTAATATTTTTATAATTCATGGTATTATGGTCGAATATGTGGATAGAAAATACACAAAACGTTGTAATATTAAATGTATATTTAATATAACTATAATAAATAAACAGATGCTAGCAGAATGTCAATTTACCACAATAATTATACAATACAAAACTACAACATGTTACTTACAAAAGGCTATTACAGTTGCTAAATGTTACAATGGATTCATATTACTTACAAGGTCCCAGCCCTTTGGCTGGGGTTAAGTCAGAGCTGGTACTACATCTTAGGTTCAGCAGGTACAGGCAAA